CTCTCTCTCTCTCTCTCTCTCTCTCTCTCTCTCTCTCTCTCTCTCTTTCGCGCGCGCGCGCGCGCGCACGCGCGCTCGTCACAGCGAATGTCACCGCGAGTGGCATGCTGCCAACACCTCCATCCGAAGCTAGTCGTCGAATTTCCGGATGTCACCGCGGAGACCCGGCCGGTCGTGCAGCGGAGGATCGGGGTGCACCCTGAAATCCGGGTGATCGGTCATGTGATCCCCGTACTCGTCGGCGAGGTTGCAGATCAGGAGGTCGATGATGTCCGCAAGCACGTCGACCCCTCCGTCCCAGCGGTTGGGGATGGCTCGACTGACCTTGGCCACGTGACCGACTGCTTCACATAGCAGGTCGTCCTCGAATCCCAGACACAGACTGGCGTACAGGACGGTCTCTCCGTCTGCATCCACCTCATACTGCCGCACTTCGCGGATCGTCGTCGGTTTCACGAAGTTGTAAACACTGTCATCGTCCTCTCCGCGACGATGCCTCATCTCATAGCATGTGGTGGTACGTCCTAGCACACGACCCCTGAGCGCCACTTGGATGTCCATCGTTGCGCGCGTGCGCACCCCCACACAAGTGCGATGGCGTAGCTCTCTGCACGTGCTCACCCCACCACAGGCGCACCGAAGAACCGTCGTCCCGCTGCCGACGGCCAGGCAGGTGTTTCGACACGCAATAGCGCACTCCGCCATGATTTCGGACTAAAAAACGAGCGCGCAGTTCACCATCCGGACTGTGTACAACTGCGTGCATAGCGCCCACGCGCACCCGACTCGCACAACGAAAGCAATGGAAGGAACCGCCAATTGCAGAACCCTAAAGCAGCAAAGCACAGTCGATGGATTGTCGTTGCTCCATGGCCTTCCTCTTCTCCGATGCCAACTGTCTCACCGCCCACCGACACATGACACGCCTTCGATTTATAATCGGCGGTGAGGGTAATGCTTGGCGCCACACAACGGCCTGCCCAGCGACGGCCACCACTTGCTCATCGGTTCACAGACGTCAGCCACCACTGAAGACAGTCTGCCATGTGGCGTGTCGGATCCTGGACCCACGGCTTCATCGCTGACAATGACCGAGGGCAAACGCACTTGCGCTGCTGCTTTGCAACTCCGCACAACCTAGACCCATTGGATGACATCGACACGTACTGCATGCACATGAAGTGGTCGGCGAGTAAACACATGAAGAAAAAAAATATATATGAAAAATGAAAACAAAAAAAAAGAATAACAAAACGAGAAAATACAGGAATCCAAAACAGCGATCGTCCGAATAGACCAGTGCACATTCATTCGTTCGTCTCCCCCCGCACATCAACAGAACATGAAGGGACATTGCGTGCATAATGCATCGAACAAGTTGGCAAAGCAGTCACATCAACCAAGAAATAAAAACAAATTACAAAAATCGCCAAACCGATAATCCAATCGGCGGATTGTCGATCCCGCCATCCAAACCACGAAACAGAAGCCTACATAACACGAACAACAACCACCCCTCCGCCCGGTGGTATGTTGGTCGATGTCCGAATCACGCACTCAATCCCGCGCCAAAGTCGACGCGATCTTCAATAGTGCATCGCACAGCATCCGTTGTCCGACCTCCAGAACTTCGCACTGCCGCTCCTGCGTCCTCGCCTCCCTATCCATAATGTCGCACTGCCTCTGCAGCACATCGCACTGCCGCTTGCTCGTGCGGTCGACGGACTTGGCGACAACGGTGGAGTGCGTCTTCATGACGTCTGTCACCACCTCGAAGGCCAGTTGCCTGGCGTTCTTCCGTTTCCCCACCAAGCCGTTTTATGAGGACCTGCTGCCGCATCCATCACCTCCATCCGCTTCCTTGTTCTCGCTCGCCAAAGTGTCACCTTCCCCCCCCCCCCCCCGCCCGCTTGGCTATGCTCCCCTTGTTGGGATTGCTGTCCCGGTCTGATGCCCGTGTCGACGAGATTCGGCGGGTGAACTGCCTGATTGTTCCCCTGCATGATGTGGATGATGTCGTACAAAGTGCGGTCGAGGTTGAATTTGTATCCTTTCTCCCTTCGTGTTTTCGAGCTCATGAGGAAGTACGACTGCAGTCCCGACTCCTTCTCCCTATCCCAAACTTTCCTGTACCACCCGATGATGTTCTCCTACCTCTTCATGCATTGCTCCCCGTCCCGCCGAACTCCTTCCTTATCCATCCTCTTCGCGATGTCCGCCCATTTCTGGTCCTTTGTTTTCATGCGAGCGAAATTGTGTCCAGCATTGGCGAAATAGTCTTCTTGGTCTCTCTTGCAGCGCACAAGGACCAGGGACTCGTTCAGATTCCAATTTGCCCGCCCACCACTGTCGCCACCATCCCCGTTCGTTCCGCCATCCTTGCCAGTCGACTTCCCCTTTCCCCGCCCTTTGGATGCTTGTTGTTTCTTCCTGCCAGCTGTCGCTTCCTTGACGACGACCTCTTCCCCATCGTCGTATTCGTCATCGTCATCGCCGACGTCGACGTCAACCGGCTCTGTTTCTGTTGCAGCACCGCCCTGCCGTGCGCCATCGTCGTCACTGGTCGCCCGCATGTTATTGAAGCGGCATATAATGCGCTCCACACAACGAGGGGATCCACCACCCGTTGACACGTCACAACTCCCTGCCTGCACGTAGGGGGCGGTAGACGACGGGCGATGAACAGGAGTCGGCACAGGTTGGGGTTCGCTCGCCACGGACGTTGGCACCCGGTTCGACCGGAGGTGTGAAATCCCATCGTCGAAGCCGGCGTCTTGCATCGTCTGAGAGGTGCTCCCGCAGCCTTGGCCGTTGTCGTTAATGACGACCGTTCTCGACACATCCATGGTGGTGGATGGAGAGAGTTGCAGGTCAACTGGAAGACTGCGTCCTTCCCGCATGTCTGCCAGCAGTGTGGACATGGGACCAAGCCCCCCTCTCCGTTCGTCCACTCTGGCAGGTGTGTCGTAAGACGTCTGAGTCGACCCCCATGCCAGATCCAGGGTGGACGAAGGCGGCGCCCACGTAATGTCATAAGGCAACGGCTGCTGGTGAGGGGGCAGATGCGAATACAGATTGGGATCAAATCTGTGATGCACGCTCTGCTCCGCCCCACCCCCTACTGCATAGCCCCCTCTGCCGATCCCATAACCCTCTGCCCCCCTTCCGTATCCATCGCCCATGCCTGTCTTCACCGATGCAGCCTGTCGAAGCTTCTTCGAACCCCTCCTCCTTCCAACGCGGTTGAAAGTGCCGACCACTTGCCACAAGTGCAGAATGATCACCAGTAGCAACGCCCCAACTAGGAAAATGATGAGAGTCGTCTTCCTCAGCATGTCAGCCATGTGCTCATCCCGGTAAGTACAAGGAACGGAGCTCGCAGCTTTCGAACACGACAGAGGGCAACAATATAGGGGAGCACTGCTGATGACCGACGGGACAACGGTTCCACGACCGATAGGCGCCATCGACATCCCAAGCTCCAAGTCAAATTCAAACATTGCAGCCAACGGCTATCTAACCCGCCCGTAGACATGCCCCTGCAGCGGGCGTTTTCGAACGCCAGCCGAAACGTCCCCGTGGAGGGACTGCAGGCACACCCGCATTGGAACCGCACGACCGTTGGAGGTTTCCATGGGCCTACTGTCCCTTGGTCCACCGGACAATACCGCCGTTGGACCAGGAACGGCATGGCCCAGCACCTAACGGAAAAGAGCAAAAAGGAAATGCGGGTTTTCCGCGGATGTAAGGGTGCCACCCCCTTCTTTCAAGTGACCTCCACGACCATCCGTACGGTAAGGGCCGTTTTGGCAGGGCGGCACTTACTTTTGTAGGGCCCGCCTTTACCGCCGCGAATATGAAAACAAATTAAACTTGTTTTTCATCGTGATAAGGGAGGGGTGGAACGATGAAAACCTTACATGTAAGGGTTTTGTAGTGGTGTCGAACAAGCATGTTAGTCTCACTGATTTGGCGACCTTAGGGCTGCGTTCTCGACGCCCACGCAGTAGACAATAGGTACTCCACAATTCGTAGCCCTTAGGCTGCGGTACAGTGGGCTTCCGCGTTTGTGTCAAGGTGTCGCATTTTTGCGGCGGGCGACCAGGACGCAAAGTGGGTTCTTAGGGGGGGGAAAAAAAATGGGGGACCGGTCCTTGGCAAAACTGCGGACTACCTACAGCTAGCTCTGCTAGAACCGGGACTTTTGGAAAAAGGAAGGACTGGTCCTCGGGTGGAAGTGGACCCCAAAATTAAATGGGGGGTGTTGGACCAGACCTGGGTAGAAGAGGACCCCAAAAAGAAGTGAGGGCATGTGAACTGCAACAGGGCCCTCAGGCCCAAGCATTGAGCCCCGTCTTCTCAAAACAGGGAGGTCAGGCACAACGAAATAGGCGTTTTGCAAGAGGCAACTTTGACCATTTTCTGTGCTCGAACGAACATGCACAAAAATCTCAAATTCTGAGAATCCATAGATGAGGTCGTGTTCTTTCCATAAATAATAATAGTTCATTAAAAAAAAATCATTTACACTGTGAAATAATCGTCGCACCTATTCGGCACATTTTCCATTTTTGCCACTCAGCCATGCCTGGGCCAATAAATTAAAAAACATCATTCCAACTGCAAAATACATCGCGGCCGCAATTTGACCCATATTTAATTTTGCCATTCAGTCTCTCTCTCTCTCTCTCTCTCTCTCTCTCTCGCGCGCGCGCGCGCATATCAACAAACG